ACCCGTTAAGCAGCGACATTCATCGTCGAGAAATTACTCAAGGCAGTGGTTCATAATTGCAAAGGCCAGTATTGGGATATACTCACCAGATGTCACTGAGGGCAGTGACGAACTCACTACTACGTCATCGCAAGCGCCTACGATCAAGCTCCTTCCACCGAATAGAGGGGAGCGTGCAGGGCTCACTCATGCTCCGACGGCCGACGCGACTGGTACTTCACGGCCTACCTAGCAGAACTCACCTCCACGTCTTCCCACCGAACTCGTCTTGAAGTACCTGAGTCAACTCAACCGCCTCAAATATCTAACTCGATGCTGGAGGAGGTGCCGAATGCAGACACGGGCAAACTCAAGAAAGTCGAGACGGAGCTCGACCAACTCGACCGGGTACACAAAGAATTCTCCGCTACTCACTAGTTCTTTTAGCTGAATTGGCCAGCTGCTTTCCATGACCACTTAAACTTCTCAGAAAAATCTCAGCAAGAGGCGAAGGCATACCAGAAGCTTAAACTCGCACTCAATAAAGTGCGACACTCACGAGGCGAAGCGGAGCAATTGCCAACAACCACGGAACCACGCATCGAGTCTAAGCTGCAAAATATACAGCTAAAGAGCTTCTTAAGAAAGTACACAGACTAGCCGGGCTTTTTTTTTTTTTTTAAAGGAATGTTCGAGTCACTCATATTTAAAGGTGAGAGGATCTCAGATATTAAGCAGCATAATTACCTCCGCAGTTGCATGCAAGTCCTACCGGCACAACTCATCGCGAGCTTCCAACTGACTGGCAATTCATTGCAGTCATCATAGGAAATGCTCAACGAACGCTATGACAACAAGCGGCTACTCATCCAGGCCTAACTCGATAACCTATGCAAACTCACCCCACTCATATTGAAGTCCGCGAAGTGGCTCAACACACTCATCTCTACGCAAGGCGTACACTCTCTCTCAAGGCTTTGGAATCATTGGGAGTGGTGGATTCACTTAGGGATCATATTTTAGTGCATTACGTCTCGCGCTATCTTGACCACTCATCACGAGAAAGTTGGGAGATTTCGCTGGGCTCGTCCCTCGGATACCTCACTTTTAAGAAACTAGAAGAGTTTGTGAACTCACGGGCTCGTGCGCTGGAACGCATCGAAGATACCACCGCCCAGTCACCTGCTGTGAAAACGCAACCAGCAAGGAAGCCGGCAACAGCTTATCAGGTCGCCACTAATCCGGACAGCACTCAATCAGACGTTAGACTTTTTTACTGTGATTGCTGTGAGGGCAAGCACTTCATCGTAATGTGCCCAAAGATCTGCACACTCAACGTCGCCACACGACGTAGCATAGCCTCGGACGTACGGCTGTGCTACAACTCCTTGGGACGCCATAACGCCAATTCCTGTCGTACAACTCTGCGTTGCAAGCAGTGCGGAACAAAACACCACACCATGCTCCATGAATCGGGACATCCTCAGCCAGCAACCGCATCCAAAACTGAGCAAACGACTTCAACCTCATCATCTCACTAAGACTCAGGTGCAATCGTCCACTCATCATCCACTCATCACTCAACGCTGCTTGCCACAGCAATTGCCAAGGTTTACACGCAAGAACTCACTCATCCTACTCGTCTACACATCGATCCTGGTTTAGAGCTCACTTTCATCTCTGAAAAGCTCACCAATCAACTGAACATCAAACGCCAGCACTCGTCTATATTAAACATCGGTATTGAAGGGAAGAGAAAAACTCAAACCCACGGTATGGTAAGTCACACCTTGGGTTCCCCCTACACGAGCTCGAAGATCACTGTTCAAGCTCACATCCTCAAGACTGTTTCCTCTATACTGCCATCGTTCCAATCTCACAATCACAAGTTGTCTCACATCTCAAATTTAAATCTGGCCGATCCTCATTTCCGCGAGCCTCGCTCCATTGACATCACTATTGGATCTGATTCGTAAGAACAAATCATCGAGCTCAAGATCATCAAAGTCCCAAAATCATCAAAGGCCCTAGGTCAGTGCCAATTGCTCAGCTATTCATTTTTGGATGGTTTGTTCTCGAGCCTGTACACTCACTGCACTCATCGTCATGCCAAGCACACCATGTCATCACTCATGTTGTCGATACAGACCTGCAACACCTGCTCACAAATTCTGGGTACAAGAGGAGTTACAATCCGACACTGCAAGTGAGCCAACTTTGGAAGAAAAGCAGTGTGAAGATCATTTCTGCACCACGCATTCGCATGATGCCTTCGGACAATACGTCGTGCGGCTTCTACTCAAATCATCACCCAGCATACTGGGCAACTCATACTCTGCAGCTAATCATTCCTTGCAACGAACATTTAAGAGGCTCCAGCGAGGCATAGCTTCCAGCGTGAAGCGGGTGCCTTGACCAACGTGAGTGTCACTCTTGAGTCCGCCCACAAATAAACAGAAGATAATGGTAGCTAAAGTGTAGCGTGAGTGTTTTGCATGAGCTTCGTGAGTAACAACGCTGCTGTGAGTTCTAACCTCGGAATGGTTAGTGGCTTAAGTGGAGCTACTTTCGTTTTTGCACAAATTCGTTTTGCAAAATCGTTTTGCAAAAAAAAAAAAAAAAAGAGTAATTATCAGTGGAAAAGTACACATGGATGGAAAATATTATTGAAATATTATAGAAAAAGGAATAAAGGTAACAAGGATAAAAACGCAGTAGAAAAATATTAATTAAAAGTGCCGATGCAAAGGGATGTAAATTGAGCACATATGGTGTACATAACCTAGAACAGAGCATGTGGCCGCGGAATAAAAGTAAGTGTTTAATTAACATATGGTTACAGAGATTAATTAAAATTAAAGATAATAAAAGAAGAAGAAATGGTTGATCAAGCAAGAATTGATGATATTCGTATTCCAATATTTGATGGAGTTAATTATAGTGCATGGAAATTTAGACTTTTGACTTTATTAGAGTATAAAGAATGTGATAAGCCTGCAATAAGGAAAAGGTTGGATACAG